TGAATCTTAAAAGGTCTTATTAATGAAAACAAACCCAGAGCCAGGTATTGGGGTGATGCTGAAATATCAGAGAAACATAGCAATACAAAGCCAACCTCACCTCACCAATTCCTCAGCTGATCTTGATTCCTCAAACTGAAAGCCTCTGTGTCTTCATCTGAATGGATCTCAGCTGAACTGCTGCTGCTCAAAATCTAAAAGCTTAAAGGGGCTCTAGTTCCTGGTCCTCATGCCTTATATACCTTTCTGCTTCCTGCCATCACTTCCTGGGATTAAAGGCCAGTGTCATCTTGCCTGGCTGTTTCCAGTGTGGCTTTGAACTCAGAGATCCAGACAGATGTCTGCTCCAGAATGCTAGGATTAAAGGTGTGTGCTACTACTGCCTAAATCTATAATTAATACAGTAGCTCTTCTGTTCTCTGACACCCAGATACATTTATTGGGGTGCATAATATATATTATCAACCACAACATATCAAATCCATAGGAGAATACTAGATGTAAAACAAAGGATGACTAGACTGCTACTCACAACTCCAGAGAGGCTACCTAGAAAACAGGACCCCAAGAAAGACACAGAAATTTCCAAATCAGAGAAATGGATGACATCTACATGAGCAAACTGGACCTGAGGGGGAGTAATGATGGGCAAGGTTTGATGGAAAGAGAGCTTAGGGTAGCGGGAGATCCCAGCTGGATCAAGAACAGAGAGGGAGAACAAGGAAAAAGAGATCACGATAAATGAAGACCCCATGGGAATAGGAAGAAGAAAAGTGCTAGACAGGACTCCAGAAATCCACAAAGATACCTCCACAATAGACTACTAGCAATGGTCGAGTGAAAGCCCGAACTGATCTAGTCTGGTGATCCGACGGCCAAACACCCTAAATGTGGTGCTAGAACTCTCATCGAATGACTATGGAAGCAGATGCAGAGATCCATGGACACGCCCCAGGTGGAGCTCTGGGAAACCAATCGGCTAGAAAGAGGAGGGATTTTATGAGTGAGAATTGTTGAGGCCATGATTGGAAAAAGCACAAGGACAAATAGCCAAACTACTGGAAACACATGAACTATAAACCAGTAGCTGAGTAGCCCCGAACTAGATCAGGCCCTCTGGAAATGTGAGACAGTTGATTAACTTGAACGGTTTGGGAGGCCCCCAGGCAGTGGGACCTGGACCTGTCCTTAGTGCATGAGCTGACTGTTTGGAGCCTAGGGCCTATTCAGGGACACATTGCTCAGCCTGGGTGAAGAGAGAAGGGGACTGGACCTGCCTCCATTGAATCTACCAAACTGAGCTGAATCACCAGGGGAGTCCTTGCCCTGGGGAGATCTGAATGGTGGGCTGGGGGGAGGGCAAGGAAAGAGGCTGGAGGAGGGAAGACAGGGGAATTCGTGGCTGTAATGCAAAATTAAATTAAATTATAAAATAAATTTTAAAAAAGATGGAGAAAAAAGAGACCAAATAACTGAATTTAAAAAGTGGGGAGGAATATAGGTCTACATGGAGAATCTTTTTTTAAAAAAATGCTCAGAAACACTTAAAGAAATGTTAAACATTGTTAGTCCATCAGGGAAATGCAAATCAAAACTGCTTTGAAATTTCATCTTATACACATCAGAATGGCTAAGATCAATAAAACAAATGACAGTTTATGCTCCCAAGGATGTGGGATAAAGGGAACACTCACACACTGCTGGTAGGGGTGCAAACTTTTACAGCAACTATAGAAATCAGTGTGACAGTTCCTCAGGAAGATGGGTATATGCCCAAGAGTGAGATAACTGGATTTTTAACTGCAGAGAGATATTTGATTGTAAAGGCTGCTGAGTTAAACTAATATGTATATTTTAAAGGTATCTTGGCTTCAAAATTTGGATCTAAAAATATATGGCTTTGAAAGGGATGCTCTGCTTTTGTTTCCACAGGAAGCAAGAGGCTATGGATTTGTTCCAGATTAAGCAACATCAGGTTTGATCAGTCAAGACCCCTTGAAAGGTCCCTGATGACCCAATGGCCCAGATCATCCAACATCCAAAATCAGCTTCAAAGAAACCAGCTCAGAGAATACAGACTCACAGACTATTCCAGTCAGGACTTGACAATAATTCTTAATTTTCTCAGGATCCCGATAAAAATACAGCACTCTCTATCAGCAGGAAATAGCCTATGAAACTATGCACACATTCCCAAATAATGGCTTATGGATGTTTGTCTCTGTTTAGGTTGTTGGTTAAAAATTTTTATTGGTCATGGTCAATCTCTTTCTAAAAAAAAGAAAGGGGGATATGATATAGAAATATAAGATATAGATATGATAGGTTAAATGGGTAGATTATTTCATCTACATTTAAAGAGCAACAACTTGCTTAAAATATTTTACATTGCTATGGATTTTAGCTTATTGATACAAATTTAAAGTTAATTTTATTATACTCTATGTATATTTCCACTCTTGTTTAAGGTGTTAGGTTTGTGCAGCTCATTTAAAATTGTAATGTATAATTAAGATAAACAGATTAATTATTAGTCATCCATGATAATCAAACTTATACTCATATTAAGTTTTCTATGTAAACATAGATATATTTCAGATAGATAGGTAATCTTCAAACACTTCAAAGACCTACAGAATATGGCATTTAAAATGTTTTAAAATTTAGACTTTCTGGACAGTGAGACATGTCTGCTCCTGGCAGGACCAATTTACTTCAAAGAGAAAGATGGGCATCAAAGACACTCTATTATGAAATTTATCTTCTTCTTAGCAAAAGTAGCCATTTGGACAAGAAACTGTTCTTGCCTGGACTGCTTCACAAATTGTTGTATTGACTAGACATGCAGGACCATAGGAAGGGGACTTCTGAACTTCACAAGACGAAATAGTCCTTCAGGTTTCTGCTTTGCAGAAAAAAACTGTCTGACATCCTACAAAACACAGAAAAAAGTGATTGAGCTAGGCCTATGGGCTGAACATGGATGCCCAAATGTTACAGAAGAACTTTGGGTGACTGTCCAGGTAGTCAGCTGTCTCTGTCATTCTAGATTTTTGGAAGTTGCTTACAATGCTCTTACTGTTTACTTAAGTAATAGTATATCCTTCTGAGGTCTTTGATCATGTTGAAGAATAGATAGTTATAATTATGGTTTTCCTTGGTTATGATAAGAAACAAGGTAAACATGAAACCTTAGACTTACAAATATAGGATCAGAAATATTTTCTTTGAATTTGCCAATTATAAGTGGACTGGATATTGTAACTGTGATTCTTGCTTGATAACTCTTCTATGATATGTCATTTTACTATCTTAAAATTAAAACCAACCTTTTGTTTAGGGAACAAAGGGGGAGTGATGGGGAAATGTCTTTCTGTATGCTGTGAATATATGTTGTTCTGAGAGGTTGATAAGTAAAGTTGTTTGGCCTATAGCAAAAGCAGGTTTGAGGCAGGTGGGAAATCCTAACTGATAGACAGAGAAAGAAAACAGAGGAAAGGAGTCACCTGCCAGACACAGGGGAAAGCAAGATGTGAAGGCAGAACTGAGAAAAAGTACCAAGCCATGTGGCTAAACATGGATAAGAATAATGGGTTAAACTTTGGAAATCAATATGGCACTTTCTTAGAAAATTGGGAATCAATCTCCCCAAGATCCAGCTATACCACTCTTGGGCACATACCCAAGAAATGCTCAATCATACTACAAGAGCACTTGCTCAGCTAGGTTCATATCAGCATTGTTTGTAATAGCCAAAACCTGGAAACAACCTAGATGCCCTTCAACTGAAGAATGGATAAATGAATTGTGGCACATATACACAATG